GGCCAACACCATGATTCACCTGGTGAAACATGAGGAAAGGACCTTGCTAACTTGTCCCCAGACTCCTGACCCATCAAAACTGTACAACAATAAATTTGTGTTGTTTTAAGCCACTAAATTTGTAGTAATTTGTTATGCAGCAATAAAAAACTAGTACAATGAAACAAACAAACAAAAAAAGGTTCTCTCCCTTGACCCTGCCTGCGCGTGTGCACTTCCAAAACAAAATGACTAAAATTTGGTAAATATTATACTTTTAAGTACCTGTAGTTTACTGTATTATCAATTATATCTGAATAAAACTTGCATCTTAGAAAACTCTAAGTTTGTAGTCTTAGAAAAATGTTAAAATAAAAAATATCAAATCAACAGTGCAAAATTACATCAATTAAGGTAATTTAAGGGGCTTCAACTTTACCTTGAAGAATGAGTAGTATTTTATTAGACAGGATATCTTTCTAGGCCAGGATCTAGGCCAACAGAAGCCTAGGCTTCAAATAAAATGAGGTTTACTGAGGGCAGCAATCATACAAAACATCAGCTTGGAAGGAAGAACTAGACTAAGAAATGTATTACTTTGTTAAGTCTGGGGAGCCACAAGACTTAGGTTTCTGAATGGTCTTGAAAACACTGAACAAACAGTAGTGAGAAACACTGGAGTCTGGTAGTGTTATATGGACACCAGAGGTTAGACTGGTGTGGTGGCAGAAGGTACAGAAAAGGAGACATTTTAAAGGATTTGATGACAAAACAGATATGAAGTCATTAACACTGAAATGAATCCAGGCACTTACCTGGGTAAGCTCATAGGCTCTGTAAGCCAAAAGTGATGTAACTCTATTCGCATTCTTTGACACGTGACATTCATGCTTCGGCGTTGGGTCCAAAGCACTTTTATTTAATATAGATTCCAAACTTTTTATTTTACCCTAAAATAAAGAAAACCTTTTAAGTCCACCTAACCTAATTATTGACTATATGACATTACAAAATACCTCTCTGAATACAGATCACCTATGACAACAGTTCTTTCCTTTAATACCTGGTAACACTCAACACTTTTTACCAATATTGAAGCAGTAAAAAGGAGTTAACCATGAAAAAAAGTGCTGTTTGAATTTAATAACAAGGAAATAAAAAAATTTTTTTTAAATGTTTATTTTTGAGAGAGAGGGAGAGAGAGAGAGAGAGAGCCAGACAGACAGACAGACCACGAGCAGGGAAGGGGCAGAGAGAGAGGGAGACACAGAATCCGAAGCAGGCTCCAGGCTCTGAGCTGTCAGCACAGAGCCTGATGTGGGGCTCGAAACCACAAACCGTGGATCATGACCTGAAGTCGGACACTCAACCGACTGAGCCACCCAGGCGCCCCAAGGAAATAAAAATTTTATTCACAACACTGTTCATTAGCCTAAATGACATTACCAGTTGTATTACCTCTTCATTCTTTTCTTTGGAAAGGAAGTCAAATAGATTAAAGATGGCAAACCACTCTTCAAAGTATGTTTATCTACTAAATAAAGCAAGCATCAATTTTAATTTAATCAAACTCCTAAAGACAGAGCCAACTAAAATCCAAACCAAATGCTGTCTTTGATATATGAAATGTAAAAGTTAAAATTACCTTCATTATTTTAAAAATAACAACATCGCCCACTGCCCCAGCTTCCAAAGGGTTAGCTTGTAATAAATCAGCATACTTAGAAAGATAGATACCTAGTAAAGAGGGAAAAATTAAAGAATTTGAATAAGGGCACAAATACTAAAAAGAAAATTCAAACATTTAATCTAATGATGAGAGAAAAAGTATGACAACTTAAAAAAAAATGTAATGGCAGTAAAGACAGTGGATATTAATCCAAAGCAAAACAAACAAAAACAAAACCTAACCACAAAACAACAAAAAAACCTGTGAAACTATCCAAATTTCTCAAAATCACCAGGACTGAGTTAAAAAAATAATAATCTTTGATCAATTTGAAGTATGCAAATCAGAAACAAAGGGTAAAACTGGTTTTACGCTGCATAACCTCAAACTATCCTCCTTTTTCTGAGAACGTGACAAAGCAAACATGAATTTAATTATAAGGACTGCAACAAAATTAAACATGTTTAAGTGGCAACTTAATAATAGATAAATGGAAAAAAAAAAAAGATTACCCATGGAAGGACTGCCAAGAATGGTTATTTTGGACTGGCCCACCTGTAATCCTTTTTCACATATGCTTTGCACCTAAATAAACAAAACACTTCATCTTGCGATCATAATACATTTAAAACATGAAAAGATAATTTATAAACTTGTTTTAAATAAAATACAAGCTCCTAAACCCTGTAAGTTCTACATTATAGAAATTTTATACACATGACAATTTATGACTAAATATCAATGTGAAACTGGCTTATGCTTCCAATGTAACCATAGCAGATATCCATTTTTGTTTATACTAGGTGTGACAGATACTCAGAATTCATGCCACTCGTATATACAAACATTCCCTTTTAAAGAGAATTAGAACTGGCAAAACATTTAAAGAAAAAGTAACTCCACCTACACAACTTTAATTAAAGGAGACAAAACAGCTCCTAGTACATATAATCAACAATACAGAAGATAATCTACTTTAATAAAGAGAAAATTATTATCAAGCACATCCTAGGCAAAGAAAATAGGCTTGGTCAGAGAAAAAATAAGCACATTTGAAAAATAAATTACATAACAATGAAATATCTTGCCCTACTAAATCATTTCTTCCACATATATATCCATTTACACATATCATTTATAGTAAAATGTAAAACATTAGTTTATAATTACCAAGTGTATTGTTCACACTGAAAAATTAGTAACTTACAGTGGAAACATCCTCAAATTGTTTTTTATAAAAGGAGTTCACACACCTGATATCGATCAACCATAAGAAATGCATAGGATTCTGAAAGTTCTTTATCCAAACGACCATCAAACTTCAGTTCTCTTCGCTTTTCGGTGAACTAAATAAAATAAAATCTGTAATAACTCCTTAGCATGTGATTACGTCTTTCAAGCTAATAGCTTCAGGAATTTTATTTCTAAGAAATCCCAAATGTAACCAAAGCAGAAATGATCTTTTCTCTCCCTATAATTTCCATGCTTCGATTAATTTTTACCCCATTATAACTAGCTCTTTATACCTTGTAATAATCAAATAAACATCTAATATCTATGAATTTTAACTAAATGTCTACTAAAATTTTGCCATATTCCAACTCTCCCACAGATTTTTAAGTTAATAGTTACCTTTGGATCTCTCATTTTACATAACATGGTACACTGCATAAAGTAGGTGGTTTAATAAATCTCTGCGGAATGGCCAACTTCTGGACTATAAACTCAATTAGGACAAGGAAAAATGTTTTCTTTATAACTACATTCTCAATGCCAAGTACATAAGATGTACTCCATATATATTTCCTGGATACAAGTGACATCCTCTAAGTATAACTCAACTGCAAGTCACCCAAACTGCTTTTACTTTTAGATACAAGCAAATGGATATACATTCAAAATATGGAACATACATCTAAGAGATTTATATGCAGTATTCAGGCCACTACTGATGTTCAGTAATTAAAGAATTATTACACAAAATTTTCATATAAAGTTAATAAATAACCCCTATCACACCCTAAAATCACATCAAACTATCAAGGTTTTAATTTTCTCAAGTAGCCAGTAACTTCAGGGATTCCTTCGAAGTTCAATTCTGGTAGCACTGGGTTGACCACTTTACAAAAGTACAAAATTAATAGTAGTTCATGTGCATTAGAAAGCAACAAACACAAAATATTTCTAAACATCTCATTTGTATTACTGCAGAATTCCTCATTCTGGCTTTTCCTAAAAACGTTTATAATCTACATGAAACTTAAATTTACTATCTTACATACTTAACTATTCCCCTTTGTTTACATTTTTTTTTTTTAAGTTTTATTTATTGGGTGCCTGCATGGCTCAAACTCACGAACCGTGAGACCATGAACTGAAGTCAGACACTTAAACTGAATGAGCCACCCAGGTTCTCCCAAAACTAGCATTTTTAAAGAAAAGGAACATAAAACAACTTCCAGGCTATTAACTGGTTATGAAGAATCTTACAATAAGTACTATTTAAAACTTACCTCCTTTTCCAAAAGTTCATTATGTATCAAGCAAGCACGTTTGTAGTTAAAATTTGTTACTGAGGTTGGTTCAAGGTAAGATGAATGGAGAATATTTAGAACGTCTTCAAATTCTCGAGAGCCTGGAGTTAATGGCTGAAAAAGTGCTAAAACAAAACAAAACAAACATTAATTTTAAGATTATTCCTTCTTAAGCGTAATTTCTTAAACTTTTGTGGGCTTACTATAACTTTTAAATAAGGTTGAAATAAGGCATCAAGGCTAAGTTTGTGATATTCAAAAGAAACACATATTAACGGAGAGAAAATAAAAATCAATTGCCTACATTGTTCAGTTCCTTCAGCAATAAGTATCTGGCCGTTACACATGCACGAGCAGGTTACAATTTTGCAAACCTTAAGAATGTTACATCAGGCAACTTTAATTGCATAAAGACTCTCATAAGAAAGAATCTGTGCATAAGCTCAACTTGTCTCCACTCCTTTTTTATGTTACACTGAAATAGGTCTAGGACCATTTACTTGAGCAAACTAAATGCTTACAGCATAAATGAATGCATAAAAACATTTAAGATACTTATGTATCTATATAATAAAACTACCCTACCTGGTTTTTAGTACTAACGTTAGAATAAAATACACTGCATCCATCGGCTTCTTGTATTACCAATACAAAGTAGTGGGACATTATGAAAGCTTAGTGAAATGGAAAGATGTAGAGCTCTGGAGTGAAGCATGGACACAAATATCAGATCTAGCATTTACTAGCTTTGTGGAAGTCCCTGGGTAAATCAATTCACTTAACCAAAAATAAGCTCAGTTCTCCTACCTGTAATTCATTCCAGCTATCCTAATAACCACTAAATTCTACCTGCCACACATGATACAATACACAGAAAAAGCTCTAAGCACAACATCTGTTGTTCAAGTAAGACAATAAAAGTTTTTACTCCCCACACCTACAACTATTCCATAACCCATTTAATTTTTAAAATACTTAAATATCCACTTGTTCTTAGACCAGTGGATTACTGGTCTAATAATTTCAAATTTCCACTTCATGCATGAAATAGTTTAACTTAATAATAAATTTCAAGAATCTATGTACATAAAATTTCCCCAAGCCAAAAAAGGAACTACTTATATTTCACTGTATATAGAAGTATTCATTCATAGAACTTGGTTATACTGTGTTACCTTAATTTCTTTTGAGGTACTATTTCTAAAGAGTCAATAAATTTCACGGTCAAAATACTTTTAGGCTACTACCAAAAATTGTACGTACTCTTAACAGTACTAGACAGCAAATAAGATATTTTCACCGTATTTTCTAAACATACTATTAGGCTTTAAAGGACATGTCAAATGACATATCCATCCATCCCTTCACCAAACCATGTATATTATTACAAAAGTGTCTGTAAAACTGTAACGTGTGTATAAATGTGTATATCGATGACAAAATGTGTATATACGGTGCCCACTACTTTGGGATCGCACACTAAAATAAAGAAATAAAGCCAACATAGTTATAATGCAATGAAGACACTGACTAGGGTTAATCAGAAAAAAAAAAAAAAAAAAAAACCTCAAATAGAACAATTAAACACAAAGTGTCCTATAATCAAATTTGTAGCAGATGAATACATTCAATAATCTACTGTTGTAACCTCCACGAGAGCCAGAACCATATGTGCTTTATTACTCTACCTTTATCATATGCCAGTAGCTAGAACTGTGAGCACTAGACCCAAGTAAGTTGAATAAGTAAGTTCGTAAAGAAAGTGAGAATAAACTTTCTCAATGATTTTTATACTGAGGGGTGCCTGGGTGGCTTAGTTGGTTAAACAGCTGACTTTGGCTCAGGTCATGATCTCATTATTCATGAGTTCAAGCCCCACATCAGGCTCTCTGCTGGCAGCACCAAACCTGCTTCAGATTCTCTAGCCTCCTCTTTGCCCCTCCCCCACTTGCATTCTCTTTCAAAATAAACTTAAAAAAAAGTTTATACTGAATACAAACATATTCTACACCTACCAAAGTATCATTGCTGTGTCATCTTAAATTAAGTCCCACAGATTCAATAATTCAGTAATATGTAAAACAAAATATAAACTCTGAAATAAATCCTCTTAAGTCAAAATCAGTTTTACAGAATAGGAAAAAACATCTTTGTGACTGTCCCCAACTAAATTGGGAAAAACTTGGCAAGGAGAACAGCATGTATTTGGAATAGTCTTTATAGGCTTTCACATCCAAAATGGGTTAAGCATGATTTCAAAAATTGGGTTTTATGCACGATTCCTTTTTTTGTTGTTTCTAAGTGACTTCAGACATCTAAAATGCTCCTTCTGCAAAAGTGTCATGTGGCTTTAAACTTCTATGAAATCTTACAAGTCTACATAAAGCATTTTCCTTAGTTAAGCTGTCCCAACACTATTTTGACTATCAATCTAATCATATGGGGAAAATTTCATCATATAAGTTTATAGAGAAATTAACATTCCAATGATCAGAAAAGTACTTAACATTTGTTTCATTCCAAAGCAATGTCCTATAGTCATGTCAAGTGTCCTCAAGTAGACTGCCAGTGGGGGGAAAACATTCTTGTGAATGAAAATATAGAAAAAGATGCCTGTGTCCTAGTTATTTTATATATCAAATGATTCCATTGGCTTTACTAGTTAGGCCAAAGTTGTAATTTCTCTTTTTCCTCCCAGTTTTCATTTCTACAAAAATAAAATCATGCTGTTAACTCTTTTTAAGGATTTCAAGTCAAAGTGCTGGTAATCATAATTAGAAATTTAACAAGTTTTTGTTCTGAATGTACATTCCCTAGTGGCCTATTTTGTCCTTAATAATCCTCTTAACACTCCACATCCCTTGGTCAACATATCCTATCACTTCTCTTAAAGAAAACATGTATACATCATAATCTTAATTATAGGCCATTATTTGAGGCAATTAATAAACAACCCTGTGATTATCCAAATGGGGACCAGAACATTTTATATGATAATTATTTCACTTATGAAAAGTCAGTATCCAATATATTGTTTTCTGGATTCTGACAATTACTGAGTCTAACCACTAGTGGGTCATTATTACTATTTAGATAACTATACTAAGAGCTTTACATGAATTATCTCATTTAATCATTAAAACCATCCTACTTAGTTCAATTATACTCATTTCACAAATGAACCTGAGAGCTAACAGCCAATATGACCCAAGGTTACATAGTTGTGAATAACAGGGCAGGTAGGATTCAAATTCAGGCTGCCTAGCTCCAAATCTTATATTCTGAACTCTAAGTAGAAGATGTGTGTGTGTGTGTGTGTGTGTGTGTGTGTGTGTGTAAGAGCTGAAACTGATCATTATAGAACTGGGAGAATAAAATTGTTTCTTCATTTTAGACCAAGAAATCATATAGAACACTTAGACACAGAAAATTAGGTATTAAAGAAAAAGAACTTGATGTCCAGGATTATGCTCTTTCTACCCTCTTATGTGTCTCTTCTATCAAATCTCTTGTTTTTCTCATTTTAATAGAGCCAAAAGCCAACGTGCCCTTTTTAGGGTTCTAAAGGTTAACAGAAGTAACCATAGTTCCTCCACACACCGAGAAACACGATTTTGCTTATTTATAGGATTTCCATAACATACATGTCAGAAATGAGTTGATGTACATAATTTACAAGGTTTCCTTATGGACAAAATTGATAATAGATGTTTTATGGGACTGAAGAACAGATTTAAAAAGACATTAGGAGATTTATAATTCAGACAAGGAAAATGGATCACAAAATTAGAACTAGAATTCAGGTCTCCTGACTCCATACTATCCATACTATCATTAAATATTTTTTACTACTGGTAGCATACAAATATATATTGAATTTAATGGTCTATTTAAGCAGTTGGAATAGACATAAAATTTAAGTCATGCAACAGCTTTGTTCCTTTGTCAAAGTAACAATTTTCAATTACTTTTACCAATTTACTTAGTGTAAATGCCAATCTTTATGTTTGTATTACGATTTATGTATATATGTAAAACAAAAAACCCATCTATATATATATGTAAAAATAAGCTAAACTTTTAAAAGATAGACCACTATTATCAAAACATATAAATAGCCAATGTGAAATAAACATTCCAATTTAAAGTAACTAATTCATGGAAGAAAAGGAAATAGCCAAGAGTAGGCTGCAGATCATGTGTGTTCAATTCTCTGAATCCATCTCTCTGATGTCTAGCCATTTGTTCCTTCCAATAATTTATTTGAAAGATATTTTAAAAATCACTTTTCTCCAGTCTAATAAAATTGCTAAAGACATAATGCTTTAGGAATGGACGTTTCATCTCTAAATCAAGATTGAACACAATACAGAATTAAGAACGAATATGCTGGCAGAGAACTAGAGAAACAAGTACAAATATGACTAAAACTAAAAACTATTGACTTTTTCTGGCCCAGGGAATAGGTCAAAGAAAATTTTACTTACATTACTTAAAATTGATACACACCTATCAAATGTTTTATGTGGATAACTGGATTCTGCCTATACTTCCCTGCTTACCTGTAAATAGGGAAATCTGTGGTACTTAGAACCCAGTCCCTCATATACAACTACTGAAACACGATGCAAATTTCCTTAAAGGAAACTTTGCTCCAAGTCTTAAAAAAGACAACTGCAAATTCTGTGGGAAAAGATGGGTGCTGGGGAGGAGAATTAGCCATTAATTGTGCTGGCCTAGACCAGTATGGACGCAGGTGCATGAGAAGTTAGTCTTGTGTCCTACAGAAAAAAAACATTGACCAATAAACACTTTCCAGAAAGTGAATCATCACTACTTCATGTCCCAAGAACTTTGGAGGGAAAAATTATATCAAATTGCCAATTTTAATTTACTTTTAATGACTTATAGTATTAGATTTTAGAGTAAAAGAAGGCAATAGAGAAACATCTACCGAAAAAATCCAATTGTACAATTTGGTTAAATATAAGAACAGTGCCTCTTTACACTATAGAAGAGCCCAGCCAATAAACAACACAACATACATCAAAGAGTAAAATTTTACCCTTCCAGTCAAGTTAGGTCATTTAATCTGTCACCACAGATTAAATGTGTTAATTTCATAATGAACATAATTTCTGAATCTCAAAATACCCCAGAGATGAAGACATACTAAATATATCTAAGTTTAACATTGGTTAAAAAATTTAATAGGTCAAATCAAAAGCTAACAAGAGCACTTATATTACAAAAAAAGAAGTCTTGCTACAGTTTGTGTAATGATAAGTACTGTACACCTAAATTCAAATTCCAAGTTCAAGTTGGAATTTGTGTGACCTTGGGCAAGTTATTTAACTTTTCAATACTTCGGTTTCCTCATCTGTAAAATGGGAATAGTACCTACTACATAGAATTTGGTCCACACATGTAAACTGCTTTAAACAATGCCCACAACTTACTAAGCACTATAAAGTGTTTGCCACTACCATTAATTAGAATGGCAGTATTCTGCATGTTATGCTACTGTCAAGACAAGGAAACGAACTTTGAGTCAGCAAGCTATACTCACATATATCTGAGGTACCATAATCAAGTCATGTTAAGTTTCACTGGAAACGCACAGTCACAAGCACAGGTCTGCCATATTAAAATATGAATGCAACAGAATCTTTGATACTGGAAGGTTCAGAGGGATCTCCTGAAAATGATTTAATAGTCATGATAAAAGACTCCTGTGACCACAACTAGTATCTAGCCACATCCTATACATAAAGTGATACCTTTCAAGCCTTTCAAGAGGCAAAGATGTGGGGATGAAGTGCGAAATTAACAGTACCTGCTATACCATTTCTAATAAAACTTTCTTTTTAAAATAATGAAAAGTTGAATTTTTCTATTAAATTCTATCACCAAGCACTAACTTCTTTCAGTTTGGATAGGATAAAGTCCATGGTGGTAAAATACCTGCTTATTTAAGTTTTAAAAGCTCTAGTTAAGTCGTTATTGAATTATTTGAACAGCTGCTGCTTAGTGCATCAATTATTTTCACTACATATGAAGAAAGTCCAGTGTGTTTTATTTTCCTTAGCTATAACTTCCCCAAGGTTGACAACCTTTTGCCTCTACATGAAAATGGAAAACAAATTTTCCCCATGGAGCATCAGACTCCGGGGAGAAAACAGCTAGATTTTATATTTCCTAATTCCTCAATTATTTCCACTTTTAGTGTGTTCAAATAAAGTTCTATTTTACAGCAACCTCTGGATTTACCTAATTAAAAAAAATACATGTAAACAGTGCCTTTTAACATTTCCTGGTGACTTCCCTCATTTCAAACCAAACTATGAGGCTTTCTACACCAATATTCTGGTCCTATCAAAAGTTTTAAAAGATGGTACATCCATTGTTTATGGTGTAACATAAACCATATTCTTGGGCACTTAAAAATGAAAGAAAAAAGGAAAGAAAAGAAAAAAAAGGAAAGAAAAGAAAGAAATAGAGGAAAAAGAGAAAAATGGACTTCAAAATTTTATCAAGCTAGGAACAAGAGAAAAGTTCAATCTCCTACCTCATAAACCAGAGGCCACGTGAATGTACTTCCAACCTATTCTCTAGCAATTGATTAATTTGGGAAGAACACCTAACTTTCCTCATATAGGCTGTACCATGCATCTTGACTAAATAAACCAAAATAATGGACAGCCTTGACCTTTACAAATATCCCCTTGAACTCTAAAATACATTACATTAATTCACCTAAAAGATATTTCTAGAAACATTCCTCATGCTAGTGGGCAAAAGGTAACTTCATCTTTGTCAACATGGTTTCTGACACCAAGGATTTCCTTGGTTTTCTCATCCAAAAAGAAATTAAGTTTGATTTTATTTGTATCTTCCTGATACAAGGCTCTAACAATTTCAGTTGTGCAAATGGGAGGTGGTTAAGCACATGGAAAAAAGAAGCACATGCTTCAATCAAGATTCCAAGTCTACTAAGACTTTAATTACAAATAAAAAAGCATTCTGCAAATAAAAAAATCCTATTATTTCCCAAAGTAAATCATGAAAACCTGAACCATGAGGTAAAACAAAAAGAGACCTTTAAGTTGACTAAGTCCAAATCACTGGAGAGTCAAAAACAGTGTAATAGAAAACCATAATACTACTTTTGATCTCCATTAGAAACGTGTCCAATATAGCATTGTTTTAAAAACGTAAAAGTAGTTCATGTAACTATTCCCATATTGGTTCCAAAAAGTAGACTGGCCTTAAAAAAACCAAAAAACAAGTGACTGGCCTTAAAAAAAACAAAAAACCAACTTAAGTTCTCTCATCTGCAAGATTAAGTTGGTGACTCTTGGGCATAAGCTAACTTCTATTTTTTCCATAGGGAAATTACTGCACCAAGAACCTACCTTCCCATTCTTCTCAAATACAAGAGAAAACATACCAAAGTTTGGATTTAAAGAGAGACCTATTTTAATCTAACGCTTGAACAAGGGGGGGGAAATCTACATGGAAATGAAGTGTGATGGAAGACAGCAGTGTGCATGGATCACATCTAATGGAGATTTCTAAACAAGGGGAGACGCTGACATCGAGCAAATTTCAAGTAGACACTTCTAGCTGAAGAATTTCCATAGGGAGAAGCACTTGTGGTCCTCTGAATGCAATGGCCTTGGAGAAAGCCCCAGAATCCACGGCCACGGGCTATTTCCAGAGTGAGACTTGTCAGAAGCATCCTGAGGAGGACACACCAGCTTCTGTGCCTTCAGGGGTTGGGAGGGAGGGGCGCCGAGCACCATCTTTCCTCTCTGGGAGCTGCAGCCTTACGGACAAGCTTCAAACCTGAGCTACTTCCAACTTCCACGGGGAGAGGGGGAGCAGGGGAGCGTGGTTCCACCGCTTTCCTCTCGCACCAGGCGCAGCAGCTGGGTGGCCGTGGCAGTGAGGGGAGAGGCGGCTGGCGCTGCATGCGTGTTTACGTGTCTCGGATGGGTGTGGGAAGAGGAGACAGAGAGGTTCTAATGAAAAGATGGAGGGGAGAGAGAAAGAGGGGTTGGGGGAGAGGGGAAGCACCACCTTTCTTTTCTCTGCTCTTCCTGGGGATCTGAAAACTCCTCCTAACGGGTCTTTCTGGCTCTTCGGGGCCTTTGGGCACAGCGGCCGCGCCCGCCTCAGACGAGTCCTGAGTCTGCTCGTGGCTGACGCTCGGGGCGGCCGAGGCCGCTGCTGTCTCCTCAGGCCCGGCGCCGCCGCCGGGCTCCGCGATGCTGAGGCCGCCGCCGCCATTTTGTGGGGAGGACTCAAGCTCCGGAAGCGCCTGCTTCATCTCGTCGTCCCCGCCGCCGCCACTTTCCCAGCTCGCGTCCGTCGGCGGAGAGGCCTCCGTCTCCCCAGCAGTCGCCATCGCGCCGGCGTGAAGAGCTCCGGGAAGCTTCTGCCGGCAAGGTCGGCGGGGGTGGGGGGAAGGGGCGACGGGCCGGCCTCGCTGCCGAGTTGCTCTCAGCCCACCCACCCCCTTCCCCCCGTGGCCGCGGACCCCGGTCCCGACCCAACAGCCTCTCCGGGGCCCCAACGCCGGCGCCCCAACCGTGCCGCCCGCCCTAAGAGCCGCTCCTCGCTCGGGCAGTTCTTCTGCCGGCCCCCGCCACTCAACGTGCAGGCGTCGGGGCCGGGAGGGGGCGGGGCCGTCGCGGGCCTCTCCGCCAATGGGGGCGCGGTGCCCGCCTCCGCGGGTGCGGATAGACAGCGCTGGGGGGCGGAGCCTCGGGGCGCCCGAGCCCGCCAAAAGGGGCGACCGCAACGCCCTGCGAATACCTCGACGCCGCGGACCGCTGCGGGGTGGACAGGGCTTAAGGCGAGCTGCGAGTTCTCGGACCGCGCCTAGCCAGCGCCGCAGGCGAGGAAGGCGCGCCTGATAGGTCCCGTGAGCTCAGGCGTCGCCTGTCTTAGCGAGATAACGGCCCTTCCCCCTGCACGAGTTCCCTCAGCCAAAACAGGATTCAAGCAGTGGATGCTGGATGAACCCGGCTTTGTGAAGTATTTGCGTGCATAGATAGACCTGGAGAGAGGAGATAAGACAGTGGTCTTACGACGACGACAGCCTGAAAGCCTCTGGGCCCAGTGATCTGCCTTGACCACCGGATCTGCATCTTTACAATATATTACTCCCCGCATCCCTTTTTATCTTAAAGCGTTAGAACCAGTGACACGCCTCCAGCCAGCAGACAATACTTGAGACCCTTTAATGCATCCCTTTTTATCTTAAAGCGTTAGAACCAGTGACACGCCTCCAGCCAGCAGACAATACCTGAGACCCTTTAATGTGACTTCACAGCCTAGTGTTAACCGGATTTGGTTCTGGGGAGCTTGAAGGGAGGGGGACTGCTGGCTTTTAGACTTTTCTTCTTTGGTGTTTTCGGTTTTCCTGTATTGAGTATATATTAAAGAAAAATACAAAAGTTTGCAGCCACATTAAAAAATATACAGCAGGTGGTCGCTCTCCTTTAAAACAATTTGACCGTCAAGTGGAAGGCAGTTTAAATACTTTATGCTAACTAGATGGAAATTACCATCATGAGTTATCTTGAGTACAGTCAGTATTTACAGGGTGCTTTCTGTATACCAGGCACTTTATCTCTATTGAATCTTCACAACAACAGGTATCAAGAACACACTATTTTACACAATTTAAAAAGTGTTGCAAGACATTGAGCAATTTAAGTTAATAAAATCAGAATTTGAAGGCAGGTCTATTTAACTCCGACATAGAGTGCTTGCACTTCACTGCTTCTCTAAGACTTAATCTTCACAGCAATCCCGCACCTTTATGAATTTTATGGATGAAGAAATGAGGATACTTTGCTCAGAGTCTCCAACCAGCAGGGTCAGCATTGGGACCATATCTACATTTTCAAACTCCAACCGTCTCCCAAGCAGTTGGCTGACCAAACCTATAATTATAATAAAACCCTAGGCCTTGCCACATGGCTAGTACTTAAAGAACATTCCCAAGGGCAACAGGAAAGTTGGATTCCTGTGTCCAGTTAAATACCATCCCAGCCGATATTGAAAAGTTAATCATGCTTGCCCAATATATATGCATCAGCTCAGTAAACCATAGGAAAGTGAGTTTAAAACAGTCACTCCTTTTAGTAAATAGTTAATGTAAAAACATTTTTAAATACTGATGAAAACATGTGGGGCTATGTTGAGACAAAACGCTACATTATTTTAAGTTAAAAGTAACCTTTAAACTTAGGGAAAGAGGCTTCACTTGATATAAATGAGGTTACAGAAGATCAGACTCAGATGTTGAGGTCTCCAGATGCCAACTGTCTTTTTTGTTGGTTCATTAAAGGCATCCCTGCAAGCTCATTTTTATCAGATCAAAAGATAAGTAGGAGCTAACTGCACACTGGTGCCATTACTCAACTAAGGCTTTCGGCATTTGCTCAGCAAAAGCCATTCTATTTGGAAAGTGGAAACCCTTAGGCTATATATAAGGCAAACGTGCTGGTGCTGGTTGTTGGTAATGAGTTACCTAAAACTAAGGCCAGAGAAACCATTAGTCTTCCACAGAGATTGAATCTTAAATTTTGTGAGATCAAAATTTTTTCCATTCCAAATTATTTAATTTTTTTTTTTTTTTTTTTTTTTTTTTTTTT